GGAGGGCTGCAGGTCGAAACGTGAGATTGACGAGGGGTGGAACATGCAAGGAGAAGTTTCTGGGTGACATTCGTTGCTGATCTTCACCGCAGAGATTGAAAACTCAATCCTGGCAATATCGAGGAGGGTGAGAGCGAGCGGAGCTGTTGTTGATGATGATACTGTTGACTCAGATGCAAGAAGAAGTGCCGATGGTGAAATCGGAGATGGAAGAGATGCAGGAAAGAAATGGAAGATTGCACCACTCTGACTGACATGATGTCTTTCCAGATGGAGTTGTCGAGAGTTTGTGTTGAGGTCAGCATCATCGCTGTGATGCAGGAGGGTGTGACGTCATTGCAGTTGGAGGAAGAGATGGGAAAGATGAGAGAAATGCTGGAGCTACAAGCTTCTCTCCGACGAGACAACGAGGACCTGAGACGACAACTTGACGATCTCAACAGGTAGACTTGCAAGCTTGTCATGCTCCGGAACCACGAGAGCGATACGATAAAATTCTCTGAAATCTGTCCTCCTCCTCCTCCTCCTCCTCCTCCTCCTCCTCCTCCTCATCCGTTGCGACCTCCTCCTCCTCCTCCTCCGCTGCGACTTCCTCATCATCCTACTTACCCTTTCTTGTTTACCTCCTCTCCTTCCCTCCCTCCCTTCTCCCCATTCTCTCTTCTCTTTCTTCTCCTTCTCTCGGGCTCTTTCTCTTCTTATTCTTCGTCTTCAGATCGAAGAGCGAACTTTTGATCTCCTGGCACTCACCCGAAGAATTTGCTAAGTTGAAGAAGGAGAAGGAAGAGGCAGAGGTGAGGACGATGACGAGGACTAGGAGGAAGAGGAGAAGGAGCAGGAGCTGTAAGTTTCTGACGAGCAAGTTGTTCAGCTCGTCGTTGCGTCAGCCCAGCAGCAGCTGGAGGAAGAATCGAGTCGTTTCGAGCGGGTGACACCCTCCTAGTCCAGCTGGAGCTGAGCAGACCGCAGGAAGTGATGGAGGCGAAACAAGCTCGAGAGGGAGCCGTTGAGAAAGTACGAGAAGGAGGAGGGGGGGAGGAGGAGGAGAAGGAGGGGGAGGGGAGGTGGGGGAAGGGGAGGTTGAGGTCAGTCAACTTATTTCATCCCTTTAGATTAATTTCCTAGAGAAGAGGATGGATGAATTTGCGAGAGGAATGACGAGCAAGGCAAGCGTTACCATCCTGCTTCTCCCTCCCTTCTTCTCCTCCTCAGAATCTGTTTATATTCTTCCTCCTCCTCCTCTACCTCCTCCACCTCTACCTCCTCCTCCTCCTCCTCATTCTCTTCCTCCTGTTCTCTTCATCTCTCCATGTTGCTTTTCTGATTTTCCAGCAGGTCAAGCAAGTCCAGCAAACAAATATGATCAGATACTGGACCAAAGAGAGGCAAACCATCCTCTTCCTCCTTTTCCCTCTCCTCCCCTCCTCCTGCCCCTTCCCCTTTCCCTTCCTTCATCCTCCCCTTCTGTCACCTTATTTCTCTCTATCTCTCTTAGTTTTCTCCTTTCTCCTTCCCTTCTCTCCTCTGCTCCTTCTCATCCTCCTCCTCATCTGTTCGCAGGAACACTTTCCTTCAAAGTTCCTTTCGGCTCTTTGAGCTCGCAGTTTACATGTCGCAGACATTGAAGCAAGAAATTACTTCACAGGTGAGGGGGCAAGCAGTCTCCTCCTCCTCCTCCTCCTCCTCCTCCTCCTCCTCCTTATCTTGATCCTCCTCCAACTGCTGCCGCTGCTGCTGCTGCTATTACTTGCTACTGTGTCTTTTCCCTGTCCCCTCCTCCATTACTGCTTTCTTTTCCTCCTTCCCTCTCCCTCTCCCTCTCCCTCTCCCTCTGACTCTGCTTGTTTCTCCTCAGGTTTTCGTGCGTCAGTGCCGCTATGAGCGCGTCAGTTCCGTTCGCTTCCTGTGGGCCTGGAGGTTTGGAGCTTCTCAGATGCTCAACGAAAGGAAGGTGAACGTGATACTCGGAAGGAGCAGGAGCAGGAGCAGGAGCAGGAGCAGGGCAGGGAGGAGAGAGTTAAGGAGGAGGAGGAGGAGGAGGAGGACAAG